ATAGCAAAGATGATTATATATTCAACATCATATGTTACACCTCATATTGCTAGGCTTCAACTTTCTTTAATGAGCTTGTATTGCATTAACTGGCCATAGAGCAGGATAAAGCTACAATTTTTTTAAAATATATAATTTATTCTGCAGTCTGGGTGGTCAGGAAAAACAAAAGACCACAAGTGAGCAAAGTATGTAAAGTGGTATCAGGGGCTCTAGTTACCATAATATGGCTGCTGAGTTGTCTATATTAAATTAGCTAATATACTGTCTTTTTGTTCTGTCTGCAATGTCCAGCACAATGGGATCTTGTGCTATAGTAATAAAAAATAATAAACAATACAATAGTCTAAATAAAACTCTTAATGGAAAACATTTCCCTCATCGTATCACCATCACCAGTGGCATCACCCCTGGAATTCTGAACTGAATGAACAAGGCCATGAAAAATAAATAAAGTTTTCATTTCAAAAGCTTGTTTCTATAGAATAGAGTTAGCATAGTTACCATATGAGGATCTACACAGGTTTTGTACTTGTGCAGCATATATTAGAGTATATGCCTCTATCTGAACCTTGCATTTCTTATTTACATTATTGAAATTATTTTTTTTTTTTATCTATAACTGTGTAGGGTAAGAACTTTAACACCAGAAATGTGGTGTGCCACATTCATGTAATAAGATGTTTAAAAATAAGAGAACTATTCTGAATTATAGTGAATCATCCGTTCATCTCATTATTATTGCTAGCCTGATAACTAAATGTCTTCCATGCTCTGCAGATGACTCACAATATCGAACTGTAAGTCATTATTATCAGAGGAAATATTTTTCTCTAATAGGAAGTCAAAAGGAAATTTACCTTGGAGAAGGTTATTCCAGTATATGTTATGGGACCTCTACTGTTGTCAGTCATAAAAAAGTAGTCATTTGCTCAAACTAACTCCCTTGCCACTTAGCAGCAGAGCACTCCAATACCACCTGCTTCTAGCAGCCAGATTGGGAGAGCTGATCACACATCTGCTCCTTTCTAGAGAGTACATGTAAGCAGAAAAAAATGCAGGGTAAATTACTCCTGAATAAATGCGTATATATGGCCATGTCCTTACACACCAACACTCTGTCACCTTGAAGAGCTACTTAATCAACACAAGACCCACTGGGTTCATGCTTCAATGTTATATATATGTACCTCTAACTCATGAGCCTTTTAATTCATTTAGTAAAACAGGAAACTCCACATTACTTACTTCTGGGTCACATCCCTTGTATAAGAGATTACGTGAACCACTGTACAGCAAGACTCAACTATTAACTAGAGAAAGAAGGAAGGTTTTAAGGCAAGAAGCAGCAGCATAGCTCAAAAGGAAAATAACATTAGTCAGAGAAGCTATGTACACTATAAAAGTTTAACAATTTTTAAAACTAAAACCATCATCTCTCTCTATTGCTTGATTTTTAATCTCCCTAATAGCGTTACCTTATAATAATCATAGCCTTAGGAGACCTTTAGCACCAGACCCATTACATTATGTCTTTAAATCATGACATGGATTAATAACTTGCCAAAGCTAGCAAATTGAATAGTAGTCACCTTCTTATTCTTCCCTTCGATCCTCTCACTGACAAAACAGGAGAGAAAATGAAAAAAAAAGTTTACTTAAATACCTGGGCACAAAATTTTAAACTGCAGTGTGTTTATAATATTTCATAGATTTCATAGACATTAGGGCTGGAAGGGACCTTAGAAGATCATCGAGTCCAGCCCCCTGCCCCAGGGGCAGGAAGTCAGCTGGGGTCAAAGGATCCCAGCAAGATAAACATCCAAATGTCTCTTAAAGGAGTCCAGAGTAGGTGCTTGCACCACCTCTGGTGGCAGTCTGTTCCAGGCCTTGTGGGCTCAGACTGTAAAGAAGTTCTTCCTTACATCCAGCCTGAAATGGTCTTGGAGGAGTTTGTGACCATTTGACCTTGTCATCCCTTGGGGTGCTCTGGTGAACAGGCACTCCCCAAGATCCTGATGTACGCCTCATATACTTATAGACAGCAACCAGGTCCTCCAGCCTGGAAAAGCGCAGGCTCAGAAGGAGTCCCATAGCTCTCAGCCTCTCAGCATAAGGCTTGTTTTCCTGCCCTCTGATCATGCATGTGGCTCTCCTCTGGACTCTCTTAAGCTTCTCCACATCCTTTTTAAATGGTGGAGCCCAGAATTGGATGCAGTACTCCAGCTGCGGTCTCACCAAATACCTAATTGCATATTAATACTAAGCTATTACTTTATTAACAGGGAAACAGCATAGTCCAGATTTACTCTCATTTTTTCTTGTGGATAACAAAACCTATTGCAGACTATTCTGTGGATTATCAATTTCCTCCAACGCTTCCCCACACCCCTGAAAATTGCACAATAATTTCCAAGAAAACAGGGAAAAAAGGAGAGACAATATAGCTGGATGTACTTGAGCTGGTTAAACTTTCATTGCATATAAAAATAACATCATTGAGGTGTACCTTTTTTTCCAGGCTGAGTCATATCGCCTTAATTTAAAAATCAGGATACCTTAATTTATGATTGACTTTAATGGAAGCACCAGAGTAAAAGTTGATCCCATTAACACATCTTTTGTAAAAACTGAGTCACAATAAACTTAGTGGTAAAACTAAGCAAAAACTTCTAGATGCATATACAATTTTAATAATAAAAATGTGTAACAGATCCAACAGCCTGAAAAACAGAAGAGATTTCCATGAATATTGCCACAAAGGACTGGTCCAATCAGCCTGGTCTGTACTGTGGTAAGCATGGGGCTGTGAATCAAGGAAATTATACCATTTCTGTACCTGGCTCTTCCACTTATTCCCCACATCCTGTGCTTATCTAGCCTATGAATGCATGAACTAACCTGTATTTATAGACCACAATTCAGAGAAGTACTTAGGCATGTGCTTAAATGTATCTTTGTTCAGAGAAAAGTAATAATTTTCTAGATCCAAGTCCACTTGGGCATAACATTTCTCTATGCACTTCTATGGCCTTTAAAATCAATGTGTCAGACTCCCACAATTATTCACAATAGAAGTGCTCTGAGGATACATTTTAAGTAGGAAAATATTGTTCCTCTTTCACAGATAGAAAACTAAGGAAGCGTGGCAATGCTGGGCAAACAGCATGCCAATTTTTATTTCACACCCATCCTAAATCAAAGTCAGTTTTCACTTGATTAAATTTTGACCTTTAACAATACAGAAAGAAAAGGGCTACACTCTATTTCTAAATGGCATCAAAGCATAAAACGACAGAGCTATTTTTAAAAATTAGAACTTGTCATGAAATATACAAATACATTCTTTGTTAAACAGAATTACTGAACTATTCCCATCATTCCACTTAAGACAATAATTTACCTTAAAAGTTACTTGTAAATAGATCTGTGTGTACCTTATTTTTCTGAGTAGCTAAAAATGTGTATTAATATTCAAAAGCAATTTTCTCAAAAGTGGACATAATTCTCCAGGTGATTCCTACATATTTAGCCACACAAGGACATTAACATGCCTGAAACTTACAAAATTGTATTCTCACACATTACTTTTAAAAACCTATGAGTAAGTGATTAATATGACTTCTCAGTTTTGAAACAGGGTTATCACTTCTCTCAGGATCTTTAAGTGAGGAAGGTATGAAGAAGTAAATCTTGTTTCTCATGTAATTCTTAAGTTCAGCTCTTTCTTTAAATATAATTATATCAGCAGTCATTTCAGTTGGAAGAACTCTCAAAGAAGATGTAGCCTTTTTCAGGGCTTTTATAAAAAGATACTGGGTTTTCTTTAAAAAAATCTTTCAGGATTCATATGAATAAATTTAATAAAAATCTATGCCATACCAAGGAGGGAGTCCAGATTAAATAAAATAACAGAGTATAAAAAGCATCACTGGCAGATCTTCACTTGAGTGGAGGCATGACAGCTTACACAAAGTCAACAGAGGTCTAACAATTTAAATCACCTGTGAATCTCCTCTTCAGTTATCCAAGGACCATTCTCAAAACATAACAGGAAAAAAAAATCTTATTTCCCTCCTATCTTGCGCTCTTCTTTTCAAATGCCATTTTGGTTGGAGCATTCTCAGATCATAGTAAAGAACCACTATTAAAATACTGTCTTACTATTCTGTTTTGTTGTTGGATGTGAAACACGCTTTGGCTAAGTACAGACTGTCAAAAAGCCCAAGGCTGAACCATTTTAATTTTTGCAGATTAGTCTAAGCTGCATACATTAAACCAATAAGCAACTGAATTCACTTGATTCCAGAAATGCAAGCACGTGCCTGCAGTGGCCGAGGCCAGAAGCCAGAGGGTGCTAGAGCATGCCTTCCTGCTCAACTGGAACAGTTATCTTGAGCCAAGACCTGTCTGCCCACCCTGAAAGGACATTTTGCAGGAGAGGTGCAAAGCATTCTGGGATGCTGGGGGACTGTGAATTAACTTGAATCTGGAGGGGATCTACGACAGAAGTTCAATAAACCAATTTAAACTAAATCAGTTACCTACATCCATCCAGGTTTATCTTAAATAGGTTTTGGCCATATTGAAAGTGGTTTATGTGCATTGAACTTCTGTTGTGTTACAGATTTGAACCGGTTTCTGATCACTTGTACTGGTTTATGTATAATTTCTGTCCCTCGCCTTTGTCTATGTCTTGTTCAAACAACCAATCAAATTTCATGATTAGACTGCTCAGGTTGAAACCTGCCAAAACAACATTTACACCATACACAATTACACCATAGTGCTGAATTACTACAGTACCATTATTACCAAACCAGTCTAAACTAATGGTGTGTGAGGTATTGTAAAAGTTGCATGTCAATCTTACATAGTAAACAGTTTACAAATGCAAAAGGTATACAGAACACTTTCTGAGATGAATAAGAAAAGTAGTACTGGTATATTCAAAAATTAAAAAAGAAACCTAAAACAGCTTAGTTCTACAACTGACTTACCAGTCGTCTTCTCTCTTCTTCCACAGCAATCAGTAGTCGGGCAAACTCTTTTAGTGACTGGGCTGGGAAGAAAATGGGAGATCAAGTTAATATTAATGTTGAGCTCAACATGTCTCTTAAGTGAATGAGATACTAATGCTTTGGCTCTTATACAAAACTTTACACATGACATTGATATAATCATTCCTATTATATATAGAGAGAACTGGAAGCACAGAATAGTAAATTGATGCCAGCAGAGCCAAGAAAAATCAGATTTCTTGAAGTCCCAGTCCAGTGGTTTTCTTATTAGTCCATGCTGCATCTCCTTGCACTTTTTCACAAACGTATCTACAAAGTGGGAAGGAAAAAGATATGGCAAAGGAAAGACAAGGGGGCGTATCACAGGCAAGTTGTGTCAATAGATTAAATTCTGTTCCTTCTGTCCTAGAAGCAGTCATGTATGACCAGATGTGATTTGGGTATGTTCATATGCACAAAACAAGAATAAGAGATCTCTAAAAGAAAACACAACAAATAATATCCTGCAATGGGGCAAGAATAAGTAATACTGAATCTATATATAAATATATGCACCTTCACATACGCATGCATGTACATTTGCACAGAACAAAAACATCCTAGGAAAGAAAAGATTTTGATTTCTTTTCATTTAAGGAGATTAAAAAGATCTACCACAAGAGTATAAGGAAACACTAGGAGGCAAACTCAATTCCAGATGAAGTCCATAGCTATAGCCATCTGTTTAGGCTTACTGAAATTTCTGTTTATGCTTACTGAAATTGAAAAGGATTACTGTCCTCCGTAACTTTGTGTCCCAGTAAATGTGATTTGTGTGGACATGTGTTTCCAACAGAATGAGAGAAAGGGTGGATAGTTTATTTCAGGGTGATATCAAAAGGGTAGCAATGTGCAGGGAAAGATGGGAAAATACCTTCTTTATATATACATATTTTACGTGGATCCAGGGAAAAAGCAGTGTGATTTTTCCCTGAAATAAACAAAATTATACTTTGTTTCAAGATGTCTACTCACATTCTGTTTGCAGCCACTCTGGCACTACTTGCATACATAATAAGTCATAAATATAGCCAAAGATTAAGTACTTTGAAGAAAAGAGTTCTCTGTTTTCAATGCTCTGTTTATCTCTATTCTCTTTGTAAATTGTACAATAGTCTAAATTCTAGGTATTCACCTTCAGGAATAACAAAAAAATAGGAATAAAACCTAGAAAAGCTACCCATATATCTGTAGATTATAAAGAAGTCTGTTTAAAACCACCATAACATCAACAGCTTATTTTAGAGGCAATTAGAGAGGGTAAATTCACATCTGTGTTGTGATATTACTGAGCTAAAAAACAGATATGTTTATAGAAACTATGATGCAACTGGAATTTGCAATAATATGCTGCATATTATGTAAATTAGTTTTCCTTTTCTATTAGGATCAAGTAAATCTGACTACCTCTGCCCACATTACCAACTACTGACACTGCACTACTGAATTCAAAAATATTTTTAAAAGGCAGTTGGCACCTTCTCAGAATAAATAAATTTAACAAATTGTACTTAACCAGCTACATATATATACACATACATACATATACATATGAAACTGGTTTTGTAACTAGTCAAAGAGAGAGAGAGAGAGAAAGAAGGAGAGGAAGAGGGAGAGACTGATCCTATATCAAGGATAGGCAACCCCTGGCATGCATGCCAATTAGTGAGACATTTTCCCTGGCATGCCAGGAGGCATGTGAAGAAATTGTTTGGAAATAATTTTTTTTAAGTTGCTGCTCTGGGCTCTGCAGAGCAGCCACAGGTCCAAGTGCTGTGGCAGTCACCAGGGGCGGAGTCAGGGGAACCTCCGTGTTCTCCTGACCCCGCCCCCTATCCCCAGGCTGCGCCCTCCAGCCTGATCTGGCCCCTAGAGGGGAGCTGTGAGTGGGTGGAGCCAGGACGCAGGCAGGCGCTGTGCAAGACCACTGCACTGGAGGAGTGAGTGGGCAAGTCCTGGGCCCGGCCGGGGCCTGAGCAGATGGGCGCCCTGTCCCACCCGGGCAGGGGCAGCTCCACATGGTCAGGACACAGCCACCCTGCCTGTGAGGTGACACTGCCTGGCTGGGACAGGACACTGGGCTTGTGGGCCTCCCAACTCCAGGCTCAGCCTCCCCGCAGACCGGGTATAGCATAAGTGGGGAGAAGCTGCCCTCAGTGCCAAGGCCTGCATGCAGGAACCCATCAGGCCCCAGAACCAGCTGCTGCAGCTGCCCAGGCCTGCCTGGGCCCCAGCCTTGCTCACCCACAGCTCCCCTCCAGGGGCCAGGACAGGCCAGGGCAGGTACTGCGCAGGACTACTGCACTGTAGGCTCCCAGCCAGTTTGGTCCAGGGGTCTGTTCCTGGGGTCCAGGGAGCTACTGCAGCTGGGTCCCCACATTGGGGTTGGTTCTACCCCACCCGCACTGTGCCTGGCACAGAGGGAGGCTAAGATTATTATTAGTAAATGTTTAGGATTGGGAATCCAAAAAAGGTGACAAAGCCGGTAGGGAAATACAGATCGCCTGAGCGAGGGACTAACAATAGAGGGATGGGGGCGAGG